GCTTTCAAAACCTTCATTTAGTCAAAGTATTTGCAATATTTACATAAAGTGCCAAAAATAACAGTATATAATGTTCTTTGTCAGGGTGTAAAATGTTTTTGGGTTGATATTTCTGCTGCAATAATGCATATTTGTTTCATTTTTAAAGACCTCAGATACAGTAGCATAAGAAGTAGGATAACTTTTTTAAACATAAAGGAACACTTCATTCCTTCAGTAGAATCACTAATTTAGGAATACATGTTATTTTACTGGACAGCAAGGGTAGGAAAGATGTAATCGGAAAAGTAACCAAAGCTGTCATGATGTTTTTCAGTAAAAAGTATAACATTTGTTTCTGAAATGTAGCAGAGTACAAGTATAAAGTTGCATTAAATGCAAAAACTCATGTACACAATTTGTACGTACATTTATCTTCATGTGGTATTAAGCGAAGGGAAGGAGCTAATTATGGATGATTTAGGTATCATGTTGCCAGGGCCGTCCTTCCCTACAGGCCGATCATGCTGGCTGCATGGGGCCTCACATTGCACAGGGGGGGACTCGCGCAGGGGGCCTCGGCTTGTGCGCAGTTCTCAGCGCAGTTCTCCGCGCATCCTCTCCGCGCAACCCTCTCCGCGCACCCCCCCCCCCGCGCTGACACGCGAGAGTGAGAGGTGAGAGGTGACAAGGGGAGCACGTCTATAACCCGACACCGTTGAATCGACATCTGCCCAATCAAGGCTTTGATACGGCCACTAGTGCAGGTGAAGAGATGTCGGCGAAAAGACAGGTTCAGTCCAGCGCAAGCAAGAGGGGACAAAAAAAAAAACATGAAGAAACTAGAGCATCACTCGAAGGTGGGTTATTGTATGAGTCAAATGTACAACTTGTGAATGTTGTATAAGTCAAATGTCAAACTTTTGCCAATTGTCATATTAAAACATCAGCTGCAATTCACGACATGAAGAAGGCAGTCTCTGCATAGCATATAGGCTAATGGAGATGCAGTTATTTCCAGCATTCTTTATTTAACATTCATTCAAGTATTGTATGCCTTTTATCTGCTAATGTACAGGAGGAAGAGTGATATACTGTCTATCTAGTTGGCTTACATAACAGTTAAAGTTTGCAGCCTAAAAAACATGGAGCATTTTTTCCCCTTTTATTCATTTTTATGTCAATTTGCACATTTCATGGTGATGCTCAGCCTCTCCCCTTAACTCATAACAGTCATCATCATGTCAACCACAATATAGAGAAATACTGATATAAATGTGTGTGTAGTTGTTGATACAGAGGGAATTTGAATACAGATTTAAGAAATATCTGTTTTTGAGCATGTCATAAGCATGTTTTGTCTCGACTTTATTACAACTATATTATAATATAGTATTTATATTTTTGAATCGATTATGAATATTATTATTTGCAGAAGTAGTTTATTTGCATTAATTATATTTTAATCTTTTTGAGGCTAGTATTTGGCAGGGTCATGAGGTTCACTTTGTCTTTAGGTCTGAATACTACAACAAGGAAATATACTGCGTGAGATGGGAGGGAATCAGGGGATTCAAGGCCTAAAAAAAAACAAGATAGCTTTGTTAATACATAATATTAATGCTAACCAATGCTTTATAGATCTGTTATATAAGCCATTAAAGGGACAGTTCAACATTTTGGGAAATAACTGAGCTGGATTCAGACATAAAAAACTTAATTAACTTATTGAAGGATATATAGGCATGGCTTCAATCATTTTTATTTAATCAGCTATATACACCTCTTTCATTTTTTACATTACCAACTAATCGAACTATATTTACTATATAGTATATACACTGTATGTATTTATATTTTTTACTTGTAATACAAATCTTTCAAGTGTTAAAATGTAATAGTTCATTGCTTTTGGTGAGGGAGTTCTTTCATCAATATGCAATTTTCTTGAACCAATAATGGTCTAAAACCGAAGAAAGTATTGTTTATCATAATTATTTCTTAAACCTTATGTCGTACACCAAAAGTTGTTATTATGACTGCTCTATTATTACAATTTCAAACCCCTTTGTTATATCCATCCAGAAAGACAAGAATAAAAAGCATAATTTGTGGGTTTAAGGAGGAGTTCCATATTTCTCTACATGTTAAGGTTGAAGAATGAAGATACAAGCTGGACATATAGGGAACAACCAGGGAAAAAACAGGGACATATCAGGATGCATTTTCCCAACAAGTCTGACCTAAAAACAAAGGTTCTTCAAAAAAAAGCAAAGCAAGTCAACCCAATAGTAAGGTTCTAAATGCTTGCGAGACAACAACACAAAATAAAACCGATTGAGGTATTTTCCGAGGGATGGTTGACAGATTTATGTGGCATGTTCTGGTCTGGCAAGGGATCACAACCATTGAAACATTAGCAAGAACATGATCACAAACAAGGCAGAAGCTAGACTCAAGAGTGCTCCAAGCTAAATGAAAACTGGAAGACCAAGGTGACCTGGCAAAGCACTCAGACTGAGGGGTTGAGGATCCACATTATGCCAAACACAAGGAATGACGAAGGTTTATGTCCCACAAGGGAGAAAGAGGAACAAATAATTACAGAGCAAGGCCAGCTGTTTCCTCCTTGTTTCAGGGTTCATTCCAGTTTCCTTCTCAATTCATCTTTCCTCGTTTACTCGACTTGAAAGACGTCCCAATTTCTTAAATGTGATCAGAAGGTCGAAATCGAGGCTGCCAGAGACGAGCGTTATCACAAGACCTGTGTAAATGCTCTGCCCCCAACCGGCAAAATTGCATACAATTACATATTTGTCATTATTTTAACATGGTGTCCTCTCCATCTCATGAATACCAAGAGATGGATGAATACTTTTCAAGAAACAAACTAAGTTGAAGAGGGTTTATTTTCGGGTTAAGCCCATTGATGTCTGATAGCTATTGCAGACGTTATAGTAAGATAGTCTAGCATGTCCTGATTTGTTAGAGCAGAGATTTTTATTTTTCATCCCTCTGGCAAGCGTAAATCCCAAAACATTGATTTATTTCTTCGAAAAGAACATTTGTGTAGCCAGCACATGAAAACAGCTGGTTTGATGGTTTTTAATGTTCCCAAGCATGACAGCTGCTTTCTCTGGTGAGCCATCTTCAACATAACTTCTTAAATTAGCCACAATAAATAAATAAATGGGTTTCTCATATTCTAATAAGCCATCATGTAAGAAGTTCTTAATGTTAAGTCATTATTGATACTGAAGGTTGCTCACTTTCTAGTAAGTAACAGTATACGACTAAAAAGTGACTGAGCACTGCGATCTCTGTTTGGCTCATCGATACCAACCTTCTCTTAATTCTGGGAAAAGCATTGCACAACAAAGCAGCCGTGAGATTTAATCAAACACCAGCCTCAAAGAGCTCTAATCTCCGTCCTTATTTCCCCTCATATTATGCTCCTCATTATTTTTGATTTGCTCTCTTTTTGTTGAGCCCGGGCTTAGAGTTGGCAGGGCCGCTGAAGAATTATCCGAGAAGGGAGATTAGGAGAACGTTTTTAAGGCGATCTGATCTCTCTTTCATCCATTTCACTGTTTGTTGTTAGTCCACACACGGCTAAAGAGATCCGAACTGTTTGTGAGGCTTCATTCAGGCTATATTGAGGGTGACAGGAGGCCCGGGGCAGTCACATCTGAGGACCCGTTTCCAGGAAAGGTGAGTTTATATGATCTCCAAGATGGATCAAATATTGTAGAAATCATCTCCAAAGATGAGAATTACATTTTGTTGCTATTCTGCTCATCAGCCATCAGATGGTGTTGTTGAGTCACTGGAAGGAAACGAAGGCGGAAAGTGGCTCAGTTCAAGTGTCCTCTGAAGGAGCTCCTATACTCTTTGGAAATCCTTCAGTGCACAGATGAAAATGGCATCCTTACACATCTCTGTGTTACATGCAGCTGCTCGGGCACCACTTGCACCTGAAGCACAGCAAACGTAGAGAGTGGAACCACATTGGACTTGTTCAAACAAAAGTGCGGAGCAGGAGAGCAGTAGCATGTTATGCTTTGTGGACGGCGGTTAACGCGCCCCGTCCAAGAAATATACAGGGCTGACGAACCGGTTTGAAAGAGTGGAGGTCTCCACCTGCTATGTTCTGTCGCACAGAGGCCATGCTGTACAATACAACCTAGTGTTTCAGCTGCCTTGTGCATTAATAAAGCACAATAAACGCCTCTGTTAGACGGCAGAGTATGAATGCACACTGCAAGATTAAGTTCATCTGTGGAAACGAGTGATCAGCTGTCACCGAGAATGATTCATGATCAAGTTAATTAAATAAATGCCCTCTGCAGTTTAGCGGCCATGCGACTGCCTTGAAAGTGGAGATGGTGGTTTCTCACACATTGCATTCCTGTGACAGTACAATGAGTCTTTGTGTAGCCGAAGAGGAATTGCAAGTTTCTGCCAAATGATCCCTTGTCTTCCATGTTTGGTCTGCGGAGCATAGATAATTATACCCTAAGGTAAGGTGATGTGCATCTCTTCCTCTCCCTGCATCCTCATGACCTGCTCACTCTGAATGGCCTGGGGTTGACTTGAGATGGCCCCAATGCTTCCCAAAGCTCTTCCTATGATTACACGTACAACCCCGGCCTTATCTAACAGCTGGAACACGGCCAGACCTCCTAGTTTTACATTTTAACCTTTCTGTGGATCTTCATGTCTGTGGTAGGTGGAACAGCTTGTAAAAATATATATTATTGATATGATTTAGAGGCGTATCATTGATATTGAACACCTGTAGTGCAACGATCATGTTGACTGGTGAAGGGGAGAGTTGGCGCCGACGCCTTGATGCATTCCTTTCAGCTCTTTTGGAAGGACACAACAGACAGGTGATAAAACTTGCTTTTAAGAGAAAAGTGAAACAAGCTCTTAATCTGTAGCTGACCTGAATCTGAAATGAGAAAGAACAAAGCTCAAACTTGCAGCCAATCCATTAAATTCCATAGAAACTCTGTAGATACTAGGAAAAATATTTAGTTTATTGAACAGAATAGAAAACACTTAGTTGGACATAGTTGGGTTATCTAACACGGAAGGTGCAGTACAGATGTCTACATTTCAGTCATCCAAAAGCAGAGTTTCCTGTCGCTGCCGATCACGCAGAGCGGGAGCGTGCGGTGCCAGCTGAGGCCCGATCCCACTGTGGCAGATCCAATAGTAACCGGCTGAAACGAGATCAGTTTGTGACATGAGATTGGAGCTGTGAAGAACAGTAGAAACAAGTGATCATAACAGTACAAAGCCTATTGCTCACCTGCGGGTGACCAAGATGGTGGATAAATAACTGACTACAGATCTTTCCTGGACATCCAGTGGTGGCAAAGAGGTTTTGATTGGCTCGAGACCACCTAAGGACGGGTAAAACATGTCTTTCAAATGTCATCACACATGATAACTAAATCAAACGTTTGGAATTTTACTTGAAATGTTTGTACATAAAAACAAACCCATATGAATATGTGTTATCTTATCAGAGCAGGCCAGGAGGGACTTTTTAAAATCTTTTCCCAGTAAGTGACCGCTAAGAACACCTATGTGCTAAACACCAGGAAACTAGCAAAAAGCATACGTTACAAAACAACTCTTTTAAACTCATAAATTGTCAAGAATGTATGCATGAGCCGATAAAATACTGGGGAAATCAGTTGAAAAAATATGTTATGGATGAAAAAAGCAAAAAGAAAGCCTTACAACAGTTAAAAAATAGAGAAGAAATAAATGTTTCTTACTTGAATAACCTTGCTTTATCTATGTGAGCTGGTCGTTTTTCCTGGGGGTAGCTGCAAAGAATAAAAACAAGGTTTAAAGCACATCTCATCCTATAGTGCACCATAACTAAACCAATTCATCATCATATTTCCCACATTCCCCTAGTTACCTGGAGCGAGTTATGTCCCAGATGAGCCAGTCGTTGCCGGCCACAGCCCCTACTTTGATGGTGTTTGTGAGGCACCAGTCTGCGGACATGAGTGGGGACTGACCACAGTCCAGGGACAGAATGGCCTGCTGGGTAACCAGGTCATAGAAGCGAATAGTTCCCTTCTTCTCTGCCACCATTAACTGGAGCAAAACAGACGGGTCAATTAAACAATCATTATAGTTCATGTTTCTGCTGTGGGTGAATCCCCAGCATCCATTACAGCTCTGTCTTGACTACAGTCAAAAGAATATTTTGATTTACAGGAAATAATGTGCAATATGTAAGACATAATGCATTATCCTTTTGGGCGACTGTGGCTGTGAGGGAGTGTGGTCGTCTTTCAACCAGAAGGTTGTGGGTTCGATCCCAGCCCATGCAGTCAACATGTCGATGTATCCTTGGGCAAGATACTTAACCCTGAGTTGCTCCCGATGGCATGGCCAACGGTGTGTGAATGTGTGTGAATGTTAGGTCCTAGAGTAAGGTACACTGCTCTGTATGAATGGGTGTGAATGGGTGAATGACATGTAGTATGTAAAGCGCTTTGAGGGGTCTTAAAGACTGGATAAAGCGCTATATAAGTACAGTCCATTTACCATTTACCAACGGAGTGCCCACCTATCTACAGTTCCTGTAGGTGTCCTGCGAATAGTTTCACCCTTGACGTGATACTCAACATAGTGTCTGGGATTAAACACAATTGGTTCCGCCTGTGCTTCTCTTTCAAATGGCTGTGTGCAGTAACAGCATCCAGAAGTGATCAAACTGAGTAGGACAGCAAAGTGCACAGATGAGACCTCAAACCACCGATCAGTAGTCATCTTTCTCTTGAAGCAAGGTGATTCCACTCATGTGTTGCGCATAAGCACCTGAGATGAGAATAAAGCAATCATTTAAATCCGCCAAGTTAAAAAAAATTAGTATCAACAACCTACCAGGACTCCGGACAGTTATCCCAAGCCCATAAAGAAACGCAAAACACTGAAGCTTCTATTAAGTGCCTCGATAAACATCATCTGTGTCATCCTGTGACTACTATTCCTAAATAGTATCACGCAAATAAACCGTATTAACTTGTCCCCTAATGTAACAAATTTAATTCCATATCTGTCTTTGTATATATCATATTCCTATTTACATGTATATAGATTCTTGCACAATTTTTATAATTGTATTTTTTTATATATGTTGCCTGTTGGAGGAGCTCGGTCATAAGATTTTTTCATTGCCATCACACTGTAGCTCATCTTAAAAAAAGAGAAATAAAGCAGATGTAAACATATTAAAAGAAAACAAACTGTCCAATAACAGCACACACACACAAAAACTTAATTTAAAAAAAGAAGCTATTACACTTTTGTGAGTAACTAAAAGAACATCGAAGCATCCATTTTGGAAACCCTAACCTGAAGTAGAAGGAGAAACCGTTAAAGCACCCGTCATGCTTCTGTCAGCTTGATTCCTACAGAGCACCAGACACACACAACGCCTGAAAATCTATCATTTGATTCAACTAGTTACCACTCAATAGAAAGCCCTAGTAAAGAACAAACATGTTTTATTAGGGGGAGTATCCTTAATTCACTTCATACTTCACAAGTAATATGAACATGTGACATGATATTGTTGCTAAGAATAACCCAGTTTTGAGTCATTCAGCTTCACAATAAAAAGCGTGCTGCTTATTTCAAAAAACATAATAATTGAAATACACTGAAAGTAATTAGTTATTAAATCAAATGTATGCTTTTAAACTTCTTACTTGTATGCAATGTACCTACTGTACTGGTGTCTCTAAACGAGGAAATATGCGTCTTCAAGAAAAGGGGAGCAACGCTGAGAGTACAGATAACCTAAAATGCAGTGAAGCATTCGTCAAGGAGACATATCTTCAAATTAAATATTTATAAACGAAACTAAAAAGGATGAGGTTGCAAACAATAAAGTAATAAAACTACAAAACCAAAGGTATGTAAATCCCACGAAACCAACAAAGCAGGGACAGCCAACCAACTCTCAGCTTGTGGGTCCGCGTGAGCTTTTGAAGCAGTTGTAGGGGGCCCAGCACCATAAGGTAGAACTCTGTAACGCATTAGTGACTCCACCCACACGAGGAGGGGAGGAGAAAGGAACGACCTAAGCAGAAAGTACTACCCCAGGGGCGAGGCACCCCGAAACACATCTAAAAAGCCACACACCGACACCAGTCCGCCTGGACTCAGTTTGACCACCCGACCAAAGGTGGTTGTCGGAAAAGAATTGACAACTTAGAAAGTTGAATGGATACCAACAAGTTGCAAACAATGCAAACTAAATAGATCAAAAGAATAATAAAGGTTTTTTAAAGTAGTTAAGTGCAACCTTTACAGAGCATCCAACAATGCAAAACATAAATAGTACAAAGTACCATCCCATGCTGGGCTCCCTTATCAAGAAGGACGACTACCCCTTCTTAGAGAACAGTAACGAACAGACTTCAAACATAACGCAGTTATCAAAGCGACCATTTGATAACATCCAGTTCAAATTCCTAGTTGAAGCAGCCGCCAACGGGAAGGCGAAACCTCAAACGGTCCCCTTCAGCAACAAACACGCCAATACATATACTTTGGAATGAATGAGTTAGATAATACCCCTAAAACTGATGCTACGGGCTACAGAAGTAGTACCCAAGAACAAAGAAGATTTCAGCATTGTTGTGGGTCGGTGCCCCGAGGAAATCAGAGCTGACAGAAAAAGCAGACCGGGCTTAAAGGATTCTCCTTCTACTTTCAAGTAAGGGTTCCAAAAGACTGCCTTCGATGCTTAAAGTACTCAAAAGGAAATGCTCTTTTTAATTACGGTTGGGCTGTTAATGGGACAGGTTGTTTCTAATAGTTACAATCGCTTATTTCTCTTTTTAAGATGAGCTACAGTGAGAAAGGCAAGAACATCTCAGACCCGAGCTCCCCACGAAGCACAAAATAAATAAAACATATAAAAAAGTGCAGAATCAAACATAAGAATATGAATAACAGACAGAAAGAAAAAAAATATGTACAAAAGACAAAGAAAAATAACGTATGCGGTGTACATAATAAAAAGAGACACAAGAATGACAACAGATGAATGTACGAGGCAACTTAAATAAAGCCCGGGTGGTAGCGGGCAGTCTAAGGCCGTGGGGAAAAACGCCCGGAGTCTGGTAGTGTAATACTAATTTCTTTACTTGGCGGATTTAATGAAAATTGCTTTATCTTTCATCTCAGGATGTTTAGCCGCCGTGGAAGTGGGAACACCAAGCCCTCAAGAGATAATGGGGAGGACAACTGGATCCGGTGGAGGCACCTGGCCAACTGTGGCTGGCCAGGGCGGCTCTGGCTGGATCCGCAAGCAGAATGACGAAGCACGGCGGACATGGTTGACCGCCTCACGGAGACCGCGCGGAAAACTTCGCAGGGAAAACCCACAGGGAACCGCCTGCGCAAAGGAGTGCACCACCACTCCAAAGCGTAAGCGTAATAATTAGCGTTTACCAGATACTAGACCCCTCAAGCGCTTTAACATACACAGCATCCCATTCCCGAACCCATCGCACGCAGGTACCACCAAGGACCACCACATCACACACCGTTGGCCAAGCCAATCGGGGCACAGGGTAAGTATCTTTGCCCACAAAAAATACATCGCATGGACTGTGCAGGGCGACGACCCCCTACGGGGAAAGACGACCCATCTCCACCAAGCAAGTCGCCACACAGCAACCGTCCCCAATCTGCAAACACTTCGGATTCTGGTGAACAACAGGGCACTCCAACGGGCCGAACCTATCAAAGTTTGGGGTGCCTTTAATGTCCACTTACCATCCTTTGTCCCGCTTGTCCATGCTATGTTTGTTAACTCCTCAGAAAAAACGGACCACCACCAAACCCACTCAACGGGAGGGAGGGCGGGCTCGGGACGTGAGCGCACGGCGTAGTCCGGTCCAACCCTCCCACAGATCTGCGGAACCCCCCCAGAGGACATGGGGAGAACAGATCGAATCAAGGCCTGATTACTACACCTCCTACCGTACACAAGGACAGATCTCGGCACGCTCAACAACTCGCAGTGGAACCAAACTGATCCAAAACCTTGCAGAGCCCCCAGAGGAACATCACTCCTACATCATGAGGGAAAAAGAAAAGGAAAACACACATTCCACCAAAGAAAGCTGAAACACTCACAGACGGGGCAAAACTATTCAAAACCAGAAGGTCGTGTGCAAGCTGCGTGAAGAGCGGGCACGAGACTGCCCTCTGGAGGTAAAAGAGGTAGACGTCAATAACAGAGACTTAGGAACTGCAGATTCGTCTCCTCAATTCACCACCTGGCCAAGCAGATCGGGGGAAGGATGGGACACGGAGCTAACAGCCGGCAGCTCACGCCCATGAGCCCCCTCCCCTCAAACCTCCCGTGGGATGGAGTATGGAAGGTTGGCAGGAAACAAGGTAAAACAAGACAAGAGAGAACAAAAGAGTAAAAGGACTAAAGCACAATACAACTGGGGGATACGGACTCCCCGTGGTAGGGCCCTTCAGCCGATCAACCAGAACCGAAGAGATTGCGAAGGAAACGGTGCAGGTTGCGGCTGTGGCGTTGAGGGAAGGTGGCGTCTTCAACCAGAAAAGGGGGTTCGACCCCGCCCAGCAGCCAACGCCGATCTTGGGCAGAACTACCCTGAGATTGCCCCGGGCAGGCCACGGTGGGGGAGTGGAATTTAGCCTAAGAGAAGGTACACCGCCACGGTAAGAAGGGTGGAAGGTGAGAATGTAGTATGTAAGCGCTGAGGGCTTAAGCTAGATTAAAGCGCTATATAGACAGTCCTTTTAACCCTGAGAGAGGGGTGCCACCGCGCCGGTTCCCTGAAGGTTCCGCAGATGTTCCCGGCTTGCGGGGATCTCCAGTGGGGGCGGCTAAACACACAAGGCCGCCGCTGGCTCGGCCCTTTCCCATGCCATGCCAGAACCCCCAGAAAAGTCCATCACCGAAAGTCCGCCAAAAGGAGGGGGCCCTTCACACGGTCCGTAGGTCATCACTCTGAGGCAGTATTTCCCTACGCGCAAAGCACTGAGGAATAAGCACAAACATCCGCCCACGTCAGAAAAAAAATAGTACAACACACCAGACTCGGGGCGTCCCCAGGCTAAGCTTTGCTACAGCCGGAGCCTCATAGGTCCGTAACATTCATCTGCTCATTTGGACACCATCTAAAAGTATCCCGCAATAACCGATTTTCCTTGCTAGGCAACATAATCTCACTGTTCGAACCATACATACAGAGACCCGCCACTTTAAATCTAAAATAGGCACGTGGGACCGGCCTAAGATCNCTATATTTTAATGATATTATAGTTCTTTTAAAATGTTTTTTTTATGTATGAATGTTTATGCAGGGTATATGCAGGAATCCTGAAGTTAAATGTAATTCCTTTTAAGACCTTTTTTAAGACCCTTTCCATACATTTTAAGACCTCATCGCCACTTTGAGTTTTAACCGGTTACATTGGTGACACACTTTATCTCACATTTACTATATACAGTATTGATTGTCCTTCCTCTTTATCTTCCAACCATGATTTGGATGCAGACTTGCATTTCCCCATAACGATGTTGTTTAACAACCGGCGTAAACGGACCTTCGCGCGCTATCGGTCAGTGAGCGTGTGATGTCCTGTTCAGATGACGTCAAATCCAACGGGATGCCATAAATAAACTACACAGAATCACACTACACACCTACGCAATGATTACATTCAGGCAAACTGTAGAACACAACCTCTTTGGACCATTAATATACTTATTGAAAACAAGCTACAAAATGTAATACCTGGGAAAAGGCCGTTTCATACTTTTTAATAGCCTTCATTTTCGCTAAATTGATTTATCAACTTTTAATACTTTTTAAGACCCCGCGGACACCCTGTTATGTATGCACCAATAACACCAAGACAAATTCCTATGTGTTAACCTACTTGGCAATAAACCTGTTTCTGATTTATCTTTAATGGCGGCAGGCAAAATGGGCTTCTACCAATCAGAGGGTCACTGGTTCGATTCTCAGCCCCTGTCGTTGACATGAAGTCGCGTCCTTGGGCAAGATACTTAATCCCGAACTTGAGTATGTTAGTCACTTTGGATAAAAGCCAAAAATAAATAACATGTCAATGTAAATGCAAAGCAGGCTTTTGCCTTCAGACAAAGCAAGAGATGCTAAATGTTGATAAAGGAAGTGAAATGAACAACCTTATCAAAAATATAATCTCATTTCCTGGATTTCATTGTGCTTTAAACATTGATTGCTAGTTTATTTTTGAGCCTTATGGAAAGTGTCTACAAATCAATGTTGCATTAGAGGACATTTCACAGAGTAATTTACATTTTATGTTTGGTCAGAAATCTTAACTGTGCTCGTTTGACCAGTCACAAAATGAATGAAGCCTGAATGAGGATGCCTAGTCAAAACTTATCTAGGAAGGCCAAATCACCGGACCTCTCTTCTAATAGTCACCTAGCTTTAGACACTGAGACACCTACATTGCATTTTTCACAAGTCACAGTTCACCTTACTTCTCACCTGATCCGTCTGAATAAATTCTGCAGTTCAAAAGTTTGACCTCAGAATACGAGCATGTTTCTGAAGCAAAGCCCTCATACCTTAAAGGCTTCTTCTGGGTGCCAGCACACACTGATGCCCGGGGAGCGAAGTCTGAGAGTCGTGCTTTCATTTCCATCCAGGTCCCACACCCTGTAGAGATAAAGATGAGCATTAAAATACATATACAATTGTATGACCTAGTATGCTTTGAGTGAACTGGTACTGACATTATATTACATCACCCCCACCCTCATCCACCTCCACTGGCTCCCAGTCAAGCACCGTATCACATATAAACTCCTTCTTCTGACCTACAAATCCCTCCATGCCCTCGCCCCCCAATACCTGTCTGACCTTCTCCGCCACCACACTCCATCCCGGAAGCTCCGATCGTCTGGACAGGATCTCCTCTCTACCCCCCGCACCAGGTTGCGGACTTTCGGTGACAGAGCTTTCAGTGTAGCATCCCCCACCCTCTGGAACTCTCTCCCCCCCGAAATCCGCAGCGCCCCAACCTTGGACACTTTCAAAAAAGCCCTCAAAACGCACCTTTTCACCAAGGCTTTCCCCACTATATAGTTAGTTTGATAGGTTTATTTTTCCGCTACTTGCTTGCCCCCC